ACACTGAAGAATTCAGGAGTGAAGGGTTCCCATGTCTCCAACTTACTCAGATGATACATGCTACATCATGATGCATATGTAAGTAACATGTGTACCTAAGTCCATACAGAGAAATAATAAAGTAATGGTGATAAAATTTAAATAATGTGATTCTGGAGAAAGAGGACTAGAGTTCTTTGTACTCTTCTCTACTTTTAAAGATATCAAAATAAGAATGTACACATTAAGAAAAACAAAATAATACATGAGAAAACGTGCCTTTTGCAGACGACAGAGAATTGGGGAGATGGACACCTGGCCCCCACCCCGGACCGTGGGGTCTCATGGTCTGACGAGAGTCTGCTGTCACGCCCTCCGCACTGCTCCGGCTGCCAGTCACTCCTCGGCTTTGTCCTGCTCTTTGAAGTCCCGGGAGTGAGGCTTTTCCAGCCGATCCTGAGAAGACAGGGCCGTCAGCGGCAGCAAGGCCAAGTCTACGGCGCACCGTGACCATCGCTGTGGGTTGAAAGCCTGCTGTGCACAGAATTGGAGCTGGATGCCTTTCCAGTTTTCAAACACTGGGCTAGGTACGTTAGGAACATCTTATTTAAATTTTAGAGCAACTCTGTTGAATATGTAGGCTCATCATCCCCAGTTTCCAGATGAGGAAACTGAGTTGCGGTGAGGTGAGGCTGGAGCCAGGATTCAAACCCCACCCTTCGACTCCAAGCCTGCTGCCCCACCCACCACCCACAGCTGGACGTGTCCGGAAGGCACGCACTGCTTCCTCTGCCTCCATCCGGGTCCCCTCCCCATATCTCAACTTAGTGATTTTCTGGCTCAGCAAGACTGAAGTCAAGGTCTCCTGCCTCTGAATCTCAGGTTCTCGGGTAATAATTAAACACCAGCTGGGTCAGAATCAAGCTTTGCCTTACTGTGAACAAGCCATTTTCTGACTAAATTAAGACCAACCGAACCAGGGAGAGGATGCCAAAAAACTGTTTTGATGCTCTTTTTTGAGACACTGCAACAATAGAAAACATAAAACAAAACAGTCTGGAAAGGATAGGGGTGGAGTCGGGGTTGGGCGGGAGGTGCTTACACCCTGCCTTCCCTGTCAGGACCAGGCCAGTCATTCTGTCCCTCTGGGCCTCAGTTTCCCCATCTGCAAAATGAAGCAGTGAGGCAGGAGCAGGAGTTCCAGTCCAAGGATGTTTATCTGTCTCACTTATGAAATCTAAAGACAATGCAGATTCCGTGGTCCTCACCCAATCAGTAGGTTTATGTTGGAACCCAGGCTTATGTTTTTTTAACAAAGTCCCCCAGGGCTTCTGAGAGGCACCCTGCCTACCATTTGAGAGCCTCCAGGTGGTCTCTGCTGACTGCCCCCACTGCGGGCCCCCGCCCTCTGACCAGTGAGCTGGTGGTGGTGGTTCTTGGTCCTCACTGGAGGGGCCCTTCCCCCACGTCTGCCGGGCTGGGTGGGGGTCCCGGTTGCCTGCTGGCTGCCCACTGGCCACTTTGCACCTCTTTGATGTTTAAGGATCCTGGCCAATAACACCCAGCTTCTGAAGACTGACAATGATTGGAAACTCAGAGTCAGCCTGGTGGCTGTAAATTAGTAAATCTGAAAGCTCCCTGTCAACTCGGAAGAGCTGTGTGAGGGGGAAGAAGCCTAATTTTCTACAACGGCTTTCCTGTGGCAAACTGAAAAACAGAACCTCTATCACATCCTGAGGGCCAAGGGCCACACTCTGGGCCACCTCGGAGGTCCCGGGGCCAGGATGCCTGCTGGTGTCAGATAGCCATCTAGGAGCCCCCACCCCCCACCCCGCATGGCCCCTGGTCTCCTTACCCCCTTCGCAGCTGGGGATTTCCCTTCTTTCCCCTCCTTCCTCCTCATGCTCCTGCCCCAGCTTAGGACAGGACTCTGACAAGTTAACTGACTTCTCTGAGCCTCGGTTTCCTTATCTGCTGGGTTAAGTGAGACCTCAGGCATGTGAAGTGCTCAGCACAGGGCCCTGTGCAGTGAGACCCCAGCCTCTTGCCTGGCCTCGCCTGTGAGCGCCTTCTGGTTAATCAGGCCCCAGCCCCCTCCTGCAGGAGGACTTCCCAGGCTGCTCTGGCTCTGCTGCAGATCCTCCCTCTCCTTGCACCACCGCCGTCCTGCCACTCAGCACATTTTCCCCCTGGGCCACCTCCCCCACCGGACAGACGGGAACTGTACCTTGTTTGTTTCCATATCCCCAGACAGTAAATGCTGGTGGGTGCACTGCAGTGGGGCTAGTTCCATTCCAAGGCAGGGTAGCTGGGGTTGAGAGTGGGAGCCCAGCGGACGTGTGCTTCTGGCCACCCGGAAGGACTCTGCAGGCCATCTCCCCAGCAGTGGACCATGCTGGTTGGGTACAGAAACATTCCATTTCAGCCATGGGGTGGGTGGGCACCGCACAGCCGTTCCAGCATCACGGCAGTGCGTTCTGCTCCTCCGGGAAGGAAGGGGATACATGTGTCACTGGCCTGCCAGCAGATAATACTAAGACGGCTTGTTAGCAAGGGACAAAATGTATATCCCTTGGACCAGTGGTGATACTATTTCCAAATGGAATTCATGGTAAGGGACTCCTGGATTACTAATGTCACCAAGGAGCTGTGAGATGCTCCTTCTCTACAGCCCCTTCCCCTTTCTAGGAGGCCCCAAGCTATTTCTCGAGATTCTTCCCATGTGAGATGAAGCTGAAGGGTAGTGTGGGGCCAGGCCATTCAGGACCTATAGGCTATGGGAGGACAGAGGCCAATGTTCTGAAAGCAATGGGAAGTCATAACAAGAGGAAGGTACACGAGTAGATTTGGGTCTAAAAATTTCACCCCGCTGCATGGAGAACAGACTGTAGCGAGCAGGGCTGGCTACAGGGATGTGCATCTTGAAATTCTTGATAATACTATCTTTGAACTTGTGTTTTGGAAGTGACATCTGGTGGGGCAAAGATGCATGCATTAAGGGCTTGAAGCCTCAACTCAGGTGCGGTCCTGCCTCCTGCCACCTCCCCTGATGGATTCTCTGCTTTCCCCTCCCCACTCCTGCCTGGCAACCCCTGCCACCTTCTGCCCCCAGCAGGGACCTGGTGCAGGTGTGGGGAGGTTCAGGGTTGCCTGGTGGCTTCTCGTGGCGGTAGCTGTCCCAGCCTTGGGCTGACAGAACCATTACACACTCAGCAGGGTGAGTCTCTCTCTCTCACTTCTGACCTAAGTACCTAGGGCATCCTGGCATGAGTTTGCAATACTCTTGGGAATTGCCATCCACCATGGGAAACGGAGGTGCCTGGCTCGATTTCCCTGCCCCCAGCAGGGCATGCAGGCTGGTGGCTGGCAGGAAGGGAAACCCAGCAGCTGGCAGGTTTCCTACTGACAGGAGTCAAGAGATGGAGGGTGCTTGCCCCACAAGTATTCCCATGCCCCGGGGCGTGTTACCTTAAATAGCAAACAAAGCACCAAGACAGGCTGAGAGAACCTGGGAAGGAAAAGGCTTTGTATTTTAGACCCTTTAACGGCAATTCTCCCCTTGCTTTTTCAATCAGAGGTCGCACATTTTCGTTTTGCTTTGATGCTGCAAATTGTATAGCTGGTCCAGGGAGACAGCGCTCAGTGAGATCAGGCATGTAAAAGACACGCCGGCCTGCAGGCGGTAATCCTCCTGAACGCAGAAAGATGGATGATGTGGTCTCTGGAGCTGAACCCTGCCAGGGGGCTGGCTGTGACCATCAGTGTCATAAAAACTAATTGTACATTTTGTTCTCAATCCTTGGACCTACTACTTCTTGAGTTCTTCGTGTCGGTGTGTTCAAATGCCATGCAAAACAGGACAGGGCTCTGCCCACACACGGAGCTCTTCCTTAAAAAGGGAGCAACAGCCTGAAACACAGCTGTCCAGACCTCAAGGCAAACTGTGTTTTGAAGCAAACGTGATTGTGATTTTCAGGACTGGATTTCCCTCCCTAGGGGTTGGTGATGGAGGGAGGCCTGAGAGCAATTCCCTTTTCTGAGGGGTGCTCAGATGTCTCCGTCCAGCTCCTCCCCTCCCTGATGTCCCGCTGATTCATCCCCTCCCCTCTGCCTGCCCATCTAGGCCTCGTCCTTCTCTCAGACTTATTGCAACACCCTCTTCTGGTCTTACCCTCTCTAAGTCACTTCCCATCTGGAGAGACCTTTCTGGAACCTGTCCATGGGCCCTTCAGAGCAGAGACCAGGTCCGTGTCCTCTCTGAGCTCCAGTTCCAGGAGTTGGTCCCCAGCAGTGTTTGTGGACCCCACTGAGAGAAGACTGGGTGGTCACATTGGTTGGCTCCCAACATCCCTAACACCCCAATCAAGAGATCTCCCTCCCGAGGTCAGTGATGGTGATGTGGGAGCGTGTGACTCACTTCTGGCCAGTGAGACTCAAAGGGCAGTCCTCTGGGAGACTTGAATGAGGAGGACTCTGCTGGAAATGAGACACAAGGGGAGGGGTCCTTTTTCTTCCTCTGGATGAGGCTGTGTCTGGACTTGGAGACCAGAGCTGTTGCAGCTGGGGGAAGGGAGAGAGTAAATGAGGAAAATCACAGAGAAACTGAGCTGGGGTCTAACGTACTTCACCTGGAGGCCACGCTGCCTCCGGACCCTTTGTGTGGGCAATGAGGCGCCTCGTCCATGTCAGACCTTCTGGTTTTATGTTCCTGGTAGCCAAGGCTTCCTCAATGGGTGCAAATAAAGTGAACTTGGAAGATCATGTGCCAGGTCTGGACTCTCACCCGACAGCACCACCAGCCCCGACAGCCTCCTGGACTCAGCTTTTCCAGCTACAGATCAGGGTGAGGGAATCTGGAGGCGGGCCTGAGAAAGGAGGGATGAAACCCAGTGTGAAGAGAGGGCTGTTGATAACAGACACCTACGGAGGTTAAGCCATGGGCTTTAGGCACCAGACAGACCTGGGTCTGAAGCCCAAGCTTCCACTTAGTGGCTGTGAGGCCTTGGGTGAGTCACATAAACTCTTTAATCCTTAGTTTGCCCCTCTGTAAAGTGAGGGTGATGATAATGTGCACCCTGCAGGCCGGGGTGAGGACTGAGGTAGTCCACATACAGCGCTTAATGATGCCCCCAGTGCTCAGCTCCAAAGCCAAGCTGGCTATTCTGGTGGCCAAGCCTTGGGAGCTGCACGGCGGGGGATGCTGGGGAGGGCGGAGGAGGACCTCTCTGCAGCAGAGAACTTGAATCTCTTTAGATGTCCTATTACTTCCTTCCCCAATTGCTTCAGCCTGCAGCCAGCATGGCCATCTTCTGCCCTGGCTGGATCAGAGCTGCTGGGACAGGAAGGCCTGGGGTGTGGGAGCCTTGTGGGATGGGAGGATTTGCTCAGGGAAGGAAGATCAAAGAAGGCATGCCTGGAGGGAGGCTGGGAGCAGAGGGGCAAAGGTGTGGAGGTAGGAGAGGGTGGCTCTGGGGGGAGGGAAGAGGCCGGTTGTGAGGGGGGTGGGGGGAGGCAGAGGAGAGAGCCTGGCTGTGAAGTTTCCTGCCAATGATAGGGTAAGGGCCTTCAATTAACAGAAGATTTCTAGTCTGCCTCCAGATCTAGAAGCATCACTCCATTTGGTAGAGGGAAAAGTCGAGTCCAGGGAGGCTGAGTCGCTGCTGTCAGAGGTGGTGATGCCATTGGGATGAGGTGCAGCCTCAGTACTTGGCTTCAGGGTTCCAGCTGATAATTACACCATGATCTGCCTTCAGCCGCAAGCAACAGAACACCCAACGGGGGTGCCTTCAGTGCTGAAGATGTTTATGAGCTGGACTCCAAGGATTCTGGAGGTAGGGGGCTCCCAGGGCAGCCCTACCACTCTGCAGCTCTCCCTGACGTGTTCTCTCCTGGGCAGTGATTTCAGGAGCTGGGTGTGCCCCGTCTCTCACCCTGGGCTCGTATAACTGGCACCTGGGAGCTCAGCTCTTTTCTGCGGCAGCTCTCATCTGTCTAATCACCCCAGTCAATGGTAAGGGAGGCATTGCTGAGGGTGGTGATTTGTGGACGAGCCTGATTCATCCCTTCTTGCCAGATGGGCTCAGGCCCCCCTGCCGGCATCTTCTGCTGAGTGGACGGGCCTTGGCTCCTCAGGGCTGTCTGGGGCTCCAGCCCAGGGCCCTTCCCAAGGTGACAGCAGACAGCATCCCGGCACCTGCCCCACCAAAACCAGAAATTCCAGTAATGTTCTCAACACTGTGTCTTTTCCAGAGACTAAGGGTGACAGATGGGGAAACTGAGGCTCGGAGAGTTGGAGGATCAATTAAGGTCCCTGTGACATGGAGGGCCCAGATAAAACAGAAACTGGGGCCTCAGCCTGGGTTTTCAAACTCCTGTGTTTATGTCTTTGTAATCCTGTCTCTCTTGGGCCAACCACCTTCTTCCAGCCTGAAGACTCCATCTTCAGAGGGGGCCTTCCTGCCCCTGAGTGTCTCATCTGGAGACTTGATGGGGTGGCCGTGGCCCTGAGACTCTTCTCCTTTGGCTAGTTACCTGCTCACCCCACCCCTGTGCTCCCATGACCTCCAGGCCCAACTATGTCTACTCCCAAACCGTGAACTCCTTGAGGGCAGGGCGTGGACTGGGGTGACGCACACCCGCAGTCTCGTGATGTCCCAGGCTTGGGTGAGCCTCTCCTGCTCCCGAATGGTCACTGGAGAGGAGTGGAGAGTCTGGCCTGACTGGGGTGGGGCAGAGGTGGTGGGCGACCACACCTGGCTTCCTGCCCCACTCCTTGCCCACAGTCTCAGCAGGTCACAGGCTCCCTAAGTTTGTGGCCTCTGAGGGTGGCCAGGAAGGGGGCAAGTGGAGGCGAGAAGCAGGGTGGCAGGTGGCAGGCGGGGCCGCACAGGGGGGCCCAGAGGCTCCACTTCCTGTGGGGCGACAGCCCTGCAGCCTGCCCCGGGGAGGTTGCACAAACCTTCCTGTGGGAGGCCTCGGGCTGCCTGCCCGGTGGCGCGTGCCCCAGCCTGCCTCTCCCGCTGGCCGCTGCCTCGGCCCCGGGGCTGGCACCCCTGCTCTCTCCGCTGCAGCCTGGTCTGTGTCCTCCATCTCCGTGGGGCTGGCGAGGGGCCGGCCCGGACACTGGGACCCGCCCTCCCATCATTGGGCACCACTCCTTCCTCATTTTGCTGCTGATTCTAGCCCCAAGCAAAACAGGTTGAGCCTTTTTCCTCCCTCCGGCAGCTTGTCTCTGGCTTACAGCTGCCTTCTGAGACGCCGCAGACGGCGCCGGCCGGGGAGGGGGGCCCTGGGCCAGCCCTGCCGGGACTGGGACGGTGCGCCTGGCTCCTGGCCCTTGTTCAGCCCTGTCTGTGGCAGGAGAGCAAGCTTTGCCGTGGCAGTCGCTGAGGATGATGCCCCAGCTTCAGTTCAAAGATGCCTTTTGGGTGAGTGAAGACAGCTGTGGGTTTGAACAAGTGGGGTGAGCCCCGGGGAGGTGGGGAAGCTGACATTTCCCTGGGGCATTTGGTGGGAGTGCGGCTCCAAGGGGGGGGGTCCTCTCCTAAAAACAGTGGTTGATTTTTGGTCTTCATTGTCATGGAGGTGACCTGGGCTGCTTCTGAGTTGAAAGAGGAAGGGGGCCCTCAGTCTGGGGTACTGATTTCTCTGCAAACTTCAATACAGTGAGAGAGAGGTCTTCTATGCTCTCAGGGCTGATTTTCCCCCCGAGAGACCCTCTCCCCACAGCGGAATCTTTTTAGGAGCATCTGATAGATGGTGGAGCTTGAGGAGTTCATGTGAGGCAAAGGAGGGAGGGGGTCACAGATCTGGGGACTAGAAAAACTTGAATTTGGATCTTGGCTTTGCTGTGTAAAGGCTGGACAAGTCATTTTACCTCTCTGAGCTTCATTTTTCTCCATCTCTATAGTGGTGATAAATATTAATAAACATAGCAACTGAATGGGAGGACTAAACAAGGTGAACTGACCTATCCAAGCCCCCCAGCCCCGTGTGGGCGCGCCAAGTGGGACCCCTCCTCCCCTCACCCAACTCCTCTTCCTTGTAGAACTTAGGAGTCCTTTGAGGAGGCAACAGGGCTAGGCAATTCCTTGCTTGCTTTCTTAAATTCAGCACACGTGTAAATGAAGTCTTTGCTCCTGTGAAACCCCAGCGCCCAGCCGGCGCATGGGAGTGAAGCTGCTGGGCCCAGGCCACGCAGCCTGCGAGCCCGGTTGGGACCCCCGTTCCCGCCAGCATTTTCCCAGCTGTCTCAACCCTCCTCTCTACTCCTGAAACTCTTGCTGTCCCCAGTGGCTCACAGGGAAAAGCTGAGACCTCTCTGGTTGAAGCTGGGGGATGTGGCTGTCGTGAAGCCTGCCCTGAGCCCCCCTGGCTCTTTTCTCAGTCAGCACAGCCTCAGCTGACAGCTGGGCCCTTTCCTGGGGCTTCCAGCCAAGAGGACGAAAGCTAATGAGCCAGGTCTTCCTTCCTTTCCACGCCACGCTCTGCTTGGGGCTCCTGGCCAGCATAAGTGGCTTGTTTCCCGCTTGCTCTGACCGCACAGTGGGCAGGTGGCCTGCAGAGGACACCTTGTGCCTCTCTGGGCCTCCATTTCCCCATCGCTACAAAGAGGGGGTGGGGCCAGCCCAGAGAAGCCAAGGGAGGCAGACCAGGCTTGGCCCATTCCAAGCACCAGGTTGGCAGCTGGGGCCCCACTCGAGGGGCAGGTGCTTGCAGTGGCGTGAGACAGTGAGTCAGCACATCACCTGGAGTACAAAATTGGGTCAAGGATGGAGCCTGAAAATCCTAACCCAAGGCAGGCCAGGACGCCTTATCTCAGCTCCAAGACAGCTGTCCCAGCCCAGGGCCGCTGCATCCACCTTCCCTAGGACAGAGCTGGCCAAGGAGCAGCCCTAAGGCAGAATCCTGGCAGCAGGGGATGGTACACGAAGGAGCAGGGTGTGGTAGCAGCAGCAAGATCGCAGCCCACCTGTGGCAGCTTCCTGCGCGGCACCCCGCCCACGCCCAGTGCTTGCCCCACCTCTGAGCTGCCACGGGCTTCGAGGACGGCTGGGGCCTCCTCTCCTCCGCTGCTCGCTCCCTGGGCCTGGGAGGAGGGGGCCGCTTCCCTAAGGAAGGCTGGAGCAGAGGCGGGGAGAAGTGGCCAGTGGGACCCTCTCACACTGAGCCTGGGCAGAGGTCCCAGAAAGTCAGGGTCAGCATCACTGCCTCCAGGGCTCTGAATTCTAACACGTCTCCCGGACACTCAGCCTGGCCCAGCCCATGAGGACAACGAATAGTCACTGAGCACTAAAGGTGTGCTGTGTTCAGGGCTGTGTGTCTCTCACTCATTCAAACCTAGGACGTAGATATGCTGCTGTTATCCTATTGTTCGCAGGAGGAGGCTGAGGCACAGAGAGGCTAAGTCACTTGCCCAAGGTCACATGGCTGGCATGAAACCGCGTTGGCCCCAGGGTCTGAGCTCCCACCCGGTCCTTCATCACTCCTCTATCAACACTGACAATCTCTGGGTCTTCGGGCCACGTTAGTGAAGGAGGGAAAAACTCTGTCCTCCCCACCTCCCAGAGAAGTAAGATGATCAGATGAGGTGGATAGAGGTCTTTTGAAGCCCAATTTTCTGACAAATCTGTAAAATGGAAAAGACATAATGATCTAAAAGCCCCACGTGGGAGCGTTAGGGACAGGGCCCAGCCTCCCCCTCCCGCAGCCCACACAATGCCATTGAACCCTGCAGCTTGGCAGCACACTGTTTGAAAATGGAGTCTTTAGTGGAAGGAAGCCCCTGAACTAGAAGGCTCGTATCTCTACCACAGCACTGCAGTTACCTGGCAACCTCAACCGTCCAGAACACAGGTGACAGCCAGCCCTGTTTCCGGCGCCAGCTCATTGTAAGGAGGGAAACAAAAGCGGTTTCTGAGGAGCTAAGAGCTTGCATTAACGCTTGCATCCTTTACTTCATACGAGATGCCCCGTAACTTTTAGTCATGACGTATGAACTCTGATTCTACCCACAATTTTAACAAGCTTGGCCATGTGGTTCTTTCACCTCTAGATGCAGCCAATAGTCGGGATCTACATGGAATCTGATGTACAGGTGGTAACTGACAGGTATTGGTGGACCTGAACTGTTAGAGGTAGCTTGCCTGATAGCAAGAGGGGAGACAAAAAAAAAGCTAAAAAGCAGAGCGGTTCGGAGTGGTGGGAACAGTCAGCGCGGGAGCTGGCCAGTCCTGTCCCTCAGTAAGCCTATATTTGCAATTTTGTCAGTGTGGCCACACGGTCTGTATTTATAGCCTGCCTGTATCTTCGTCAGCACAGTCATATGCAGGCTGCTGTGGGAGTGAGGCGGGGGCAGGCCAGCCACAGGGGGAGAGAAGGATAATTTGATTTCTGTTCTACACACAGAGTGATAAAAGAGCATCACAGCTTTGCAGGAAGTTTGTGGCTGAGCCTCAGCGCAGGGCCTGTCAGTGAGACAAGACTGAGGCTGAGAACACCAGGTGCCTGAGCTGAAAGGGCCTTCGAGCTCATATAACTTGACTCAGCACCGAGCCAGAGGGTCACAGAGGCCCAGAGGATGCAGGGTTCCGCCCTTCTCCAGTACACACAGCTTTCCTTGCCAGTGGCTCTGCTCCCAGCAGGAGCCAAAGTGGGTTGCAAGAAACACCTGTCTGCATCCTCAGCTCTGGGCTGGCATGTGGGATCTGTGTTCAGTCAATGTTTATAGAGTAAGTGACCAAACAGTGAATGCCTCCATGGTCGCACTGCCTTCCTGAATCCATCTTCTCCTTCATTTCACTTTAGTTGCATTCTACAGAAATTTGTGGAGCAGGGTTCTCTACCAGGTAGTCTGAACTGAGCCTCTGAGCCTCACTCCCACATCCAATCAGATGAATGAGACTGTCTTGCCCTTGAGGAAGTCACATCCAGTGCTGGAGACTGAGGTTCCCTGATGATGGAGCCAGGCGT